GAGCTGAGAATACTGCTGTACTTTTACTGCATGGAGCTGAGAATACTTGTGATAAAGTAGGATTCAGAATACAGTACTTGAGTAAATATTCTCTCCGTCTTCATAATAAAATACTTCAGAACCAACACATTGACCACAAAATAGTCACATGACATAAAACCAACTTCTTCAACGACAGGAAGTGATCTGGAGCACTTCCAAGTAAAGCCCCCCCCTTTCATCTTTACTCATCAGCACGTCCTTCCTGCTCTCGGCCTGATGTTTCTGATAACAGGAAGTCTACCGCTGCTTCCTCCCATGATGCAACACTCGGGGTCATGGCCTCCTGCCACACAGAGCTGACGTTAAACACACTGAGGATGTTTCTCTTCCGACATTTGAATGATTCATACATCAGTAATAAGTATTTATAGGAATTACACTAAAGTTCTGTATTTACTTCACGTTCTGACTCCGCTTTGTTTGAAACTTTAACATGAAGTTTCAAGATGAAACTATATGTTTGTGTTTTTAAAGATTTACGTCTTCAGTAGCGGCCAATGGGGTCGGAGCTCAGAGACACAGACAGGAAGTCAGACGGTATTAAGAGACGGACCAACACATTGATAATAACAACAATATAGAGTAACAGACTTATAGTGTAGAAAGGGTTCATACGTTGTAACTACAGGCTTAATTCAAGTATTTAATACGGGTACTGAAAAGCTTCATATTATAGTTATTATATTATTCTTAATGACAATACTTAAAGTGGCTGATCACAGAGAATCAAAGTGAAACAATAGAAACATCACGAGGTCACAGCACTGGACTGTTTGACATGTGATTCATGGAGCAAATCAAATGAATCCAATGACAACAATAAGAGGATGAAAGCAGCTTTACCTTCGGTCTGCACAACTTTACTACACATGACAGAGAGTCGCCCCCTACAGGCCGGGAGGCTCGTCAGCGTGCCGCTCTGAGCTGCTCTCTGCTGCTGCTGAAGGACTGACGGAGCTCTGAGACGTGCAGCCCAGAGCCGACACGGGCCAGTCCCTCCCAGAGCTGCTGGAGGCTGGAAGGAAGAGGACGAGAGGACGAGAGCCCCGTCACTCACACTTACTGGCTTTGAGTTGGGACAAAGACTTAAAGACATAACATGCACATTAAAGGGCGGGACGTCCCAGTGATGGTCCTCATGTAGTTAAATCCCAACATTCACATTTTGGTTGAAGTACGTATGTTTTAGCGTCAAAATGATATTATACGTGACCCGATGTAGGTTTCTGCATGATGACGTTGCTACATACATATCTATATCTATAGATATATCTATATCTATAGATATGTATAAATACACATACAAAGGAATGTACTGCTGTGGACGCCACATTAGCTCTGATTCGAGAGTCAGACAATAACACAAACTAACCGATGGTAACTTCTGTGTGTTGTGAATGGAGTCAGGTGTGTATGAAGAGAACATAGACAACTGCTTCAGTTCCCCTTCAGACAGCAAGGAGGTGAAAGCAGTCTAAATATAAATCGTATTGATTCTTTAAGAGGTGGGCCTTTCTCTGCACCGTGTGAGTGGGTCTGACGATGGATCAGCCTCTGGGGGTAAGCTCTATATTTCTGGGTTTTCAGTGTTCCCGGTGGATATCCGTCCTCCTGCTGCTTGTTTACAGTCCGATTAGAGACTTGAGATGTGAGACTGAAGTCGAGAGACGACATCTACGACCAGATTGTTTCACAAGTAGTCAGTTTATGAGAAGATGAACCACCGTCAGGCGATGGACAGTGGGCTTCTCAGGTTACATTTAGCTCACGTAGTACTGACCAATCACATTTGAGCAATGGGAAACCACAACGCTCCTCACAGCAAAACCTTCTGTTCATAGAGATTGTATTTAAGAGTCTGAAATACGTTCACAGCAGAACATTACTTTGCTCCATCGACTGTCGTAGAACGCTGCCTGTGGAGAAGAACCTCACACTAACACACCTCTAGGCATCACGACTGTCTCTTTAAGATCTGTGACAGTAAAAGAGGCAGACTAGTAAAACTCTGTGTGAGGTCTGTAGTCTGGTGTTTTGAAGAAGCAGCGATGAGTTCAGGAGGTTGACTTGTTCAGACAGATATCGCTGCACACTGAACGTCTTTATACTGAGAGAGTCACACCTTTACCTGTCTGTGTGTGTGTGTGTGTGTGTGTGTGAGAGACTCACTTGAGCGGCTGCACTGAGCACTCTTGACACTGAGTGGGTGATGAACATCTGGAGAAGCGGTGGGTTTTTGGGGCAGAGAGCACCTGGTCTTGTCTTTAGCTTTACCTGCAGATATCAGAGGTACGAGGCAACAACATGCGATTAACAACAACAACAACAACAACAACCACCCAGCGGCTGTATCTCACCTCAACATTTACAGCTCTCAGACAAAATCACTGAGTGATATTTGTTCTGCTCATGAATCATGTTCAACAGCAAAGAGCAGGCAGAGACTCTGAACGCTTCAGCTGGTGTGAAATCACTTCATGTTTCACATTACGCAGAATATTATAGTAATGAAGATGACAACAACAACAACAACAACAAAAACAACAACAATATAAAACAACTTCATAACCGTAGAATACATTTACCGTCTTTGGTAGAGATTGTAGGTAGTTTAGTTTCTGTATTTCTGGCAGGTGTGTTCAGGCGACCCTTGTAAATATGCCCGTCCAGTCCGATGATGTCAACCTCCTCCGACTAACACACTCACACACACACACACACACACACACACACACACACACACACACAGCAGCTGATAACATCTGATTGATACATTCTCTTCTTTTCAGAACCAGGACTGAGAGGCATTATGTGTGTAGAATAACAGAAGAACATCTCACTGTTCTTGCTCTGATGTATATTTGACATGAGAATAAGGATGAGGATGAACACTGTCCCACCTGGTCCACCTCCACCTGGCTCTGGTGCTTCACGGTCTTCAGGCCAGTGCGTCTCTGATTGGTCGAGGTGAGCGTGTGACTCCCTCCGCAGCTCCGTGAGCCCTCAGAGATCCGCTCGCTGCTCGGTCAGACACAAGTTAAGACGTGAGGAGACACTAGAATCTGATACCAGACTCTAGTGTCTCTCTCCTCACATGTTGACATGAGG